GGCGGATCAGCGGGGCGAGGTGGCGGGCAAGGAGAGAGGCACGTGCCACCGATGACGTCACGTGGTGTGCATTGCGACGCGGTGCAACGCCGGCGCCGGTTCTCGCCGTTCGAGATGTAGGTCCATGCGGAGGCGTGCGTCGTGCCAGCGTCGCTCTTCTGCGCAGTCGCGCACGGATGCTGCTGTAGGAAACGGATATCAACTTTTCAGCGCGGCGACGAAAATCACGGCCGACGAGAAAACGCTGCCTAGGTAGCTGGGGTGCACGATCCATCGGCTTCCTGTCGGCGAGGCGGCTTAACTTGTCGCGAAACTCGAATGGCGAATCCTCTGACTGATGGTGAATGAAAGTTATTCGCGTTCCTCCGTAATTGGAATAGCTGCGGCGAGCGTTGAAAATAGTGGAGGACTTTCTTGGTGCGCTGGTATTTCGAGATGCCGATTGTCTTCTTGGAAACAATGTCAGATATTTCCTACGTAGTCTTTAAACTCTTTAAGGCTACCCTTGAAATCGACCGCTTGGGAGGGGCAAGGTTACGAGAAGCCTTAATAGTTTGTTTCAATTAACGCGTTGCATGATAACTTGTCACACCCTCTGTTAGTTTCCTCGGAAATAAGGTTCCGGCATTAACTCGTATTTCATCGGGGACCTTGACTTTGAAAAACATCGACCCTTTTAAAATTATTACACCCAACAAAACACTCGTATCTTAGTGGAATTACTGCACTGTAATCAACAAAATTAAATATCGGAACTGAATAAAAAATTGGATCATGATTTAATTGCCTCGTTCTAAATCTTGCTCAATCATTGCTTCGCTGACGTTGCAGTCGCGAAATGAGGAAAAGGCCTTGGATCACTCTTCCGCTTCCGGTTGCGCATCGCAGACAAATTTCGTCGAATGTCTACACTACCTCGATAACATATCGCATATTGAATACAAGCATAGGTTATCTCTACGATTACTGTGTCCTCAAGGAAAAGGAGCACAGTAGCTGTACGTGCATATCTGCATCGTGCACATGGAACTTTATAGCGATCTCCACATATAACGTTACCCATCATTTGCATCCGGATCAGCTGAATCTACAAATCTTGCTTACATCCAATACCCTCATGCATAAAGCAATTTATAACAATGACTCGATACTTTTTCCGTTTACTAATACAAGACCCTCCGTTCAGAAGCAAAATACATCCCGCTAGATTACTTAGAAAAGTCGATAAATGGGCAGCCTCGTAAACCCAAAAATGAACTCGTCAGCGCGACCTCGCCCTTGCGAGCACATACGACACCTATTATCTACACCGAAGCCAGGGCAATGTCCCGAGAACGGGCGCCTCTGACAAATAGTCCCCCCTGGTTAGGTCGACGGCCACAGAACGTTAGCTCCGCCCTGGATCGCACGAGGTCCGTTATCCGTTTCCCAGCCATCCCCTTCTTCGTCCCTGGAGTGTTCCCAAATGGAGAGGTACATTTTTACTCCGGTAAACCGACAGGAACCTCTCCGCGGCAATCAAGGCCGTCGGATATTTTCGACTCGGTCAATTGGGTCAGGTGCATCGCGGAGGATACGCTCGAGATACGCTGGCAGCCAGTGAAAGTGCCACGGCTGGTCATGGAGCTGGTCGAAAATTATGCGCCACGGCTGCATGCTACGGGTCTCGATGCCGCGGATGCCACATCGGGAATCCAAACGGTACTTTGACCGGGTCGCGTTCTTCAAAGCCGCCCAGATGAATGGGCCGAAGTCGACTTCGCGGTCGGTGAAAGTAGCAGGAACCTTCGGCTAACTGGGTTACGAACGTTCTTCGCGATTACCGGGATGTTATGGTGGATGTACTCGAAAGTGCGATGAGTTGATCGATTCGAAGGAAACGTGTAACCGAAGAGCTTTTCAGTAGACTCAGTTTACGTACGATAGATCGTTAATAGCTTTTAACCCTCACCCGGCCAAACCGGGTCAACTCTGATTCAAGGCTCTAGTTCATTGCTAATAGCATACTTCATGGTATTTAGAAAATGATCATAACAACGAATTAACCGAGATCCTCCATACTTTAATATTTTGTAACTATCCAGAGATAAACGTTAATACGTTTTTAATTTCCTATCATTATCTAATCTGGAGGAGGAAAGTTCAGTGACCCTTTGGTGAAAATGAACTGTGTAATCGAAGAGTTGACTGGCTTGTGAAAATACTTGCTCTGTTTGCATAGAATTTTATTAGTTAAGAGAATAGAAGAACTTACCTGTTCGCTCTCGTAGATCGCGCTGTTCGCCACCTCATTTTCAATCGGGTCGTGGTTCACTTTCGCTCGGATCTGGAAAACCATAAGGGGAGCGTGTTAGCAAGGTGGTAGACCTTCGCGGGGCTGAGCTTAGCTATTTTCGGACCCCGTCGAACCGATTTTCCGCCGACATGCTCGCTCGACTCGTACCTAAGTTTAGAGCGGGGCGATAATACCTCAAGGTTCAACTTGTTAGCCATCTTACGAAATACCAAAAATCGCCGCGCGTGTTTACATCCTTGGCTCGGTTGACGCTTATGTCATCGGCGTGGACTTGGCATACAGCTGAGACCTACTAGCCTATGCATTTGACTGCTCGTCAACTGCCATCTGTATCGTCTTCGCAAAGAGTCGGTTATCTAACAGCGCATACAGAGAAGTCTATGAAAAGGATTTTTATCGTTCGCGAAATTACTCGTCTGTTTAATTAACATCTCAACGCCTCTCCGTTCAATTGAAGAGCTCCTTTTATGAGACCTGTCCAATAAGTTCTCGATCCGACAATGAAAGAACTGGTTTTTCAGTTCAAGGTCAAGTTTATTTTGCAACACGATGTTCCAGTATCGCACCGTTACACATTGTTGCTTTCCGGATCTATAGGATATTCCGCCACATTCATTCGATGAAAAACGCTTTTCACTCATGAATTTATTTTCCAATCGTTTCGTCCTACTTGGAGAAAAGTACAAGAATAAGGCGTGGAAAGCTAGGAAACCAGAAACACTGGTTTTCTATTACTTGTACATCAAATCTCTGATTTTCTCTCCATCGCCAAAACAAATTTCAGCCACTTAGTTGCTTTTAAACTTCCAAATGTCTGCTTCAACGAGTATATTTATGAAAAGAATATTTGACAGAATGACTTGGTATGTTTTGAAGGATGTCCGTTTAAAAAATGAAAAAGTATTACAGAGTAGCATGATCGTACCCCTCGTGTACAAACAGAAGGTTCGACTGTGTTTGATCTAACGATTCTCACAGTACGCGTTAACCCCGGCACGCAAGCAAACTCGTGACTCACAGTGTATATGCAAAGGCAACATTTCTTGCCGGTCAGGGCCGATGCTTATGCCAAAACCTATCGCGATCGATCGCTCGTCCCTGCGTTCTTTCCTTCCTGTCGTATTCCGATTACCAGGGACAGGAATCGATAGCGTTAGAAAACGATGAGGGAGCGTCCCTCTTTTTCATCGAAACGCCACATGTAGCGGATCAGCGAATGCAGCTCGATAACGGTTCGACCTTGCCTTTGTGGAATCATCGAGAATTCTCACGACACGATTTTTATTTAGATCCGATACGTTCGCCTCTTCTACGTGAAGCAGTCGGTAGTAAAAATGGCAACGAGAGAATTGTCTCTACCCACACGGCCCTAAAGATCGCATCGAGGTCAGCGCACACGCGTTTGTGCCGTTCGAGGTTCACCCTGCTCGCGAGTTGCGCCAGCCGCTTACGCAACCCGTCGTTTTTATCGGCCTCGTTGACGTTAATTAAATGTAAGTCTCGAACACGGAAGGAGCTAAGTTCGGCCAGATAAGTTCGCCACGCCTTATGAACAGTTTAATTGTGCGTTCCGAGTCCGGTCGCGATAACCCTAGTTTCGAACGGATCTCGAGAGGGTTCATGATAATGTTCCCGTTCACTTTGTCGACCTAGTACTTTTCTATAAATCATTTGTCTTCGTTGGAATTCGCCAGCTCGGTAGGCATGGTCACGCAGATTAGGGTCAATGAAGACTTTTGGGGGACCGTTGATGAAACCTCATTGATTTATCGACGTTTCAAACTTTACCGACGGAACGAAGACAACTAAGTTCACAATGTCAAACTTCCTCAAATTCGGACAATGGAATCGATCAGTGCACCGTCTAATATTAGCGGTAATGTTCACCGGAAACCGCCTCCGTCTTGCTAACGGTTTAAATATAAACCTGACGTTCGACGACCGTGCATACGTCACGCCGCAGACGGGCAAAAAAAAAGAACAGAGAAAAGCCTTCTCGGTATCGCGAGGACGTCAGATAATCGCCTAGGTTACCCGAAGGCCAAGTTCATCGGCTGCGGATTAACGTTGCAACACTGTGCACTCGAATTTATCAGATAACCAGATAGCGATCGATCGATATCCACGCGACGCGAAATCCTCCCCGCTCGCTCTGACTTTCCTCACCTTCTTTTTGCGCGGGTGCTGCTCCTCGAGGTAATCGGGCACTATACCCTCGTCCAGGGTGGTAGTCGAGCCGGGGGTGCTACTCGACGACGAGCCAGACACGTTGTAAGGGTAGTGCTGCTGATTGTGCGAAGGATGAGCCGAAGTCGGCCATAAAGAGCCTGTTGTCGGTGCTCCTTCGTCGCTCAGGGGTGGACTTGGGGTGCCACTCCGCCATGAAGCCCCGCTGCTGCTGCTGCTGCTGTTCGACGTGCCACCGACACCCGGTGAGCCGACCACCACGCCGCCACCTCCTCCTCCTCGACCTCCCCAGGAACCTTATTACAAACACAGACTTTTAATTAATCACGTGTCACGTCGATTCTTTTCGCTGCCAGAAAACATGGTCGGATAATAAAATTTCACCAAGATTCTGCCACAGATTCTATCTAACTGTTATCTACCCATTCTAGCTTCCTAACTCTAGGTTCATCTCTAGGTTCACTCTCCCTGGACTAATTCTAGATTGCTTCTAGACTTCATCTGGTGAACTGGATTCTATCTAACCGTTACTTATCTACCCATTCTAGCTTCCTAACTCTAGGTTCAGTCTCCCTGGACTGAATTCTAGATTGCTTCTAGACTTCATCTGGTGAACTGGATTCTATCTAACCGTTACTTATCTACCCATTCTAGCTTCCTAACTCTAGGTTCATCTCTAGGTTCAGTCTCCCTGGACTGAATTCTAGATTGCTTCTAGATTTCATCTGGTGAACTGGATTCTATCTGAGGTCTACCTGTTCACACATTGTAGGTTCTTGCTAGATTCTACGTATGCCTTTCCTGGACTATGTGATCGCGACTCTAGATTCTATCCAAACTGATCTTCTATTTAAACCTATTCTTGCTCTCAGGTCCTAAATCTAGACTCAAGTAGACTCTAGAGAATACTCTGGGTTATAAGCATCTTTCTCCACGATTCTTGCTGTACCTGCAGTGCCCGTTAACGGTTAGGTTAGCTCAAGTTCTACGTATACCTTTCCTGAACTATGTGATCGCAAGATTCTATCCAAACTGATCTACCTAAACTCATTCTAGCTCCCAGGTCTTAAATCTACATTCAAGTAGTCTCTAGAGAATGCTCTAGGTTATAAGCATCTTTCTCCACGATTCTTGCTGTACCTGCATTGCCCGTTAACGGTTGAACGGGCAATTGATGTGCCCATCACTGGTCTAAACCGACACGCGCTCGCGGCGATATGAATCATGGCGATTAATTGAACGTCATGTCTGCTCATGGTCGTTGATGATTAGATAGGTACTGTGCCAGACATTGTGGCACTCGGAAGCTTCGATTCGCGTTACTCATTGATTGTTGTAATCTTTGTATAGAACAGCTTCTGTACAGTGTGCAAATTTGAATCTAATTGAAAGCGACGCGTGTAGTTGTACATTTCATCGGACGTAATCACTTTTTACGACAACGATTTCATAACGGTCGGCCGGACAAAGTCGCGATAAAATTAAACGGCGAGCTTGCTTGAAAATAAATCGTCGAGCAAGGGGTTAAGCGCTTACCACGTGATACTGACCGTAATTGTGCTGGCAGTGAAGTGGCAGGGGATTATGAGGACTATGTGGCGAGCAGGAAAGCGACATAAGCACCAGTGCAGCGGTGCATTCGTCCATACAGTCGCCCCGCTCGTTGGTACGGCAACCCTCGCGACCGCACCCATGGGGTATTCTATCGCTCCAACCACTGTACGACCGTTCGGAGTCGTTGCTCGAGCTAGGTCGTCGTTTCCTGGACCTGAAATGGTTGCAATCTTAGATTCGACGAGAGTTTACTGTCGGGCAAGTGGTACAAGTTCGATGTAATTTTATATGGAAAATACTGAAGGATACTAAAGGATGAATACTGGTACACTCGGAAGCAACATCGTGTTTGATGACCAACGCTTCCAAACAAATAAGATAGCAAACGGACTCATCCCCAACAAACATACTAATCGAAACGATTTCTACTCCTTACTGATCCTGGACCCGTCCTGAGTCACACTGTCCCTTGACCACCGTCCCTATCTCTAGCAATAGTATATATAAACATCTATATTTAGTTTATAGTATATAAAAACAACATATATAAACATGTATATAAATATCGAAAAATGTTCAGAAAAGGTTTAGAAAGAGTCTAATACTCAGTCGACCCAATAAAGCTGTTCGAATTTTTTTTAAATAAAGCGTGCTGTCAATTCTCCCGGAGTCCAACAATCGACTAACAGTGTGACGTTAATCGTATTAGCCACTCGTAAATTTCTACCTTGATCCATTATTTCATTGTTACGACATTGTCCGTAACAAACAGCGCAAACTAGCAATTTGTCGAGGATGAAAAAACGACGTGATCACGTAACGTAACTGAATTAGTGGATGACCGTGCATGTTTTGCAAACGGAAGAGTTTCCTTGTTTTTCCCCGATCTTTAAAGGGGAACCGCGCGCCTTGACAATAAGAGCCTGTCACCTGAAAAAGCCGCGCAACAATGGACGGTTGCCGGCCGTTCCTGGAATTTCGCGCTTCTGCAATTACGTAAAATAGCGCTCTGCCAGCCGATATTCCGTAGGCCGGTCGTTGTACCGTAATGTCCCGACGCGCGGTGAATTACGCTTTTTCCGAGAAAAGCTGTAAGGATGCCAATATAAGGTGCCGCGAAAGGTATACGGACTCGCCACACGTTCCTCGGGCATCTGGTCATTTCGTATCTCGAGTCTTTTGTTCCCCTTCGATTTCGCGTAAACGATCTGCCGTTACCCCGAGGAAGATCAAGATTTTAGTCTATCACGTTTTACGAACTCGATATAAGGGCGAGAGACACCCCTTGATACACCGAGCTCGACAGTAGATCGAATGTTCGACACCCGACACCGAGTGATCGATAGAAACCCTGACTTTCTAGGAAATTACGGGGTAAATTTTCATCGTTATCCGTGGCGATCGGGTGTCGGCTACCGCAACGGAATAATAACGTCGACATAGGTGGACAGGTATTTTCAGATCGTCGAAGACTGCGAAACGAGTCCGGGCGAAAGAAAAACCGTTGCGAAATCGAAGAACGAGCCAACGACGGTTCTCGCGGACTTTCTAGAAACCATCGGGTTTCACCTTCTCGCGAGCCTCTTTCTCTGGAACTTTCATGGCGACCTATTCGGGTGTTGCAGTGGCAGAGGCACACGGAACAGAAGGCGGGCCCCGTCGACGGGCTGACACGTATGTACGCGAAGGACACACGGTGTACCCGGCGTAATATCTGTTTCTATGCCTGTCGAGGAGGGGACACGAGGCGAAACGACGCGTAGTCAAGGCCGCCTCTCCGCTTAGTCGTTCCGCTCGGACCGGTACCATCGAGAGTCGAAAGTGAAACGTCGCGTTTAGCGGGCACACCAACGGGAATGACGCACGAACTAGACGGTATTTCGAAAGTAATACCTCCTCCTCCTTCTTCTGCAAGCGGTAGACACCGCTGCTGTCCCGTTTTTCGAGCCGAAGGCTGAACGCATGAAAGTCCAGCCCCGGACTAGAGCTGGCAATTGCTCGATAATTAGCCAAGAATTGCAACAGGTACACAGTGGAAGGTAACGGAGGAGAAAGAAGAGCTTTGCGGCTTGGAAATATGCCGAGAGATAGGGAAAAAGAGAAACCGTGGATCTGCAAGTGCTATGGTGGTACCGTTAGCCTACCTGCCAACCAGAACCAACAATTCGTTACGCGGTTATCGCTGGAATTGGTTAAATCGCAATGAAACGATTTCGCAGGTTTAGACCCGATGCACACGAGCGACTTTTTTCCCTGCGATTCCGTTATGATCGTCTCTCTTTGTTTCCGCAGGCAAAACAAAGACAAATATCTTAGAGAGATCGGTAAAAGTTGCTCTTAGAAAATTATCGATTTCGGCGAACAATTCATGAAAGAATAATTAAGATATTTTTACCTGAATGGACTTACAAGGTAACAGCCTATTCAAACATTTAAAAAATTGTAAAACTGTGTGAATATACAGTTTGTTGCTCAGATTCAGTCCACGAAATTCACCCTTAAAGATGCAGCTGTTTCTTGATTTTAACTTCAGATATTTTTATTGGATTTTCAAGTTTGACTTACAAGGTTGTTACAGTCTGGGTAGCAACCTATTCAAACATTTAAAAAATTGTAAAACTGTGTGAATATACAGTTTGTTGCTCAGATGCAGTCCACAAAATTCACCCTTAAAGATGTAGCTGTTTCTTGATTTTAATTTCAAATATTTTTATTGAACTTCCAAGTTTGACTTACAAGGTTGTTACAATATGTGTAACAACCTTCCCAAAAATTTAAAAAGTCATGAAATTATATAAATATATACAGTTTGTTACCCAGACTCCACAAAATTCATCCTGAAAGATTTATCTGTATCTTGATTTTAAAGCTGTTTCTTGATTTTAACTTCAGATATTTTTATTTGACTTCCAAGTTTGACTTACAAGGTTGTTACAATCTGACTAACAACCTTCTCAAAAATTTAGAAAATCATGAAATTGTGTGAAAATATACAAATTTGTTACCCAGACTCACTCCACAAAATTCACCCTCAAAGAAGTGGCTGTTTCTTGATTTTAACTTCAAATATTTTTATTGGACTTCTAAGTTTGACTTACAAGGTTGTTACAATATGTGTAACAACCTTCCCAAAAATTTAAAAAGTCATGAAATTATATAAATATATACAGTTTGTTACCCAGACTCCACAAAATTCATCCTGAAAGATTTATCTGTATCTTGATTTTAATTTCTAACTCTCTACAAGAGATAGAAAGAAAGTTACTATAATCGGATTTGTCAATTACTGAAAGTTTCATAGACTGTTTAAGCAACAAGAACGTTAATGTTCTCAAATAGAATTTGAGATAATAAATTCTTGTTTGAAGCTAGGTCGATGTCCTAGTCCTGTTCGGTTGACATGATCGAGATCTTTCACTGATTCAGACATAAGTAGCTCATAAATGACACATTCTATGAAAGCGAGTCACATTTACTTATGAAAGATGTCTTTGATGAATGCTACTTCAGAGGGAACATTCTTGTCTATAAGTCATGGTCTTACATTTGCAAATATTTCTCCGTCAGCAGTTCTCAACCTTCAGAACTTCAGTGAAGGGTGGGAAATAAGGGCGTTGAATCGCCATCTTCTGTATTTTGGAAGAAAAATAAAAACCAAGGCACTGAAGTGTCTCTGTACAATGAAATTTAAAATAAATAAATTTATGGAATTTATGGAATTTAGTAGACTCTATTTATGGAACTTCGTAGACTTAATTTATGGAATTTAGTAGACTTAATTTATGGAATTTGGTACACCTAACTTGTGGAATTTAGTAGACGTAATTTGTGGAATATAGTAGACGTAATTTGTGGAATTAAACGAGAAGAGTCGAAGAGCGGTTGAACATAAAAGAGGAGTAGCAAAGTGATGGTTTAAAGCGAGTGTCCCATGACTACTAGTCAGGAGTATAAATACTCTGTAATTTTAGCAGTGTTTTATTCAGCAGACGTATCGACTGTATTTAAGTTCAAAGTTTGATACAGTTCCCGGCTTAAGAACCGCTTATCCCGGTCGCTGCCGCTTTAATTAAAGAGACGCCGAGCGTCGTGCGGGTCGACTAGCTCGCAAAGACGCTCGGCAAAAACGAAAGAGAAAGTAAATTGCCCCGATAGCAATGCTCCCGATACTTAGTCGCCTTGTACTTGGTCGCGAGAGTCAATCGACGTAGTCAAGGTGGACGGGGATAATCTTCCGACGCCGTGTTTTCTCCCTTTTCTTTTCCTGCGGCACTCGTTGCGTGCTAATTGCGTGCCGGCTTCTCGAGCGAAAAAAATTAGAGCGTGAGAATCTTTTCCAAATATTTCGCCAATTCGCTTTAAATAAAAATCAACCCTCTAATTTCTTTTCTCTATTTTCACTTGCAAAAAAGGGGTTCTATATAAAATTGCTACAGTATGTATTTTTCAATTATTATAAGTAGTTCCATTTTAAAAATAAAAATCAACCCTCTGCACTTTTTAATTTCTTTCCTCTATCTTCATTTGCAAAATAGATCAAGAAGGGGTTCCATACAAAATTGCAACATTTTCATTTGCAATTTTCATTTATTATAAATAGTAAATTGTAAGTTCCACTTTAAAAATAAAAATCAACCCTCTGCACTTCTTCATTTCTTTTCTCTATCTTCATTTGCAAAATAGATCAAGAAGGGGTTCCATATAAAATTGTAACAGTATGTACTTTTCATTTATTATAAATAGTAAATTGTAAGTTCCACTTTAAAAATAAAAATCAACCCTCTGCACTTCTTCATTTCTTTTCTTTATCTTCATTTGTAAAATAGATCAAGAAGGGGTTCCATACAAAATTGCAACATTTTCATTTGCAATTTTCATTTATTATAAATAGTAAATTGTAAGTTCCACTTTAAAAATAAAAATCAACCCTCTGCACTTCTTAGTTTCTTTCCTCTATTAACTTCATTTGCAAAGTACATCAAGAAGGGGTTCTATGTAAAATTGCTACAGTATGTACTTTTCCTTTATCATAAGTACTAAATTATAAGCTCAACTTCAAAAATAAAAATCAACCCTCTGCACTTCTTTATTTCTTTCCTCTATCAACTTCATTTGCAAAGTACATCAAGAAGGGGTTCTATGTAAAATTGCTACAGTATGTACTTTTCCTTTATCATAAGTACTAAATTATAAGTTCAACTTCAAAAATAAAAA